CTGTACTTGAACATATACTTGAAGTCACTTCCCTTTTGGGAAGTGCCATTTTCTTGCACAGTAATCTTAAAATTTAGGAAGGCCTCCAAAAAATTATGCTATATCTTTTTGCTCACATGAAAGTTGAAGGTTTGGTTGGTTTTTTTTTTTAAATTGTACTCTGCCAAAGCTTTCATTTATGAATTACAGGCTGTGACTATATAAATTGATTGTTAGCCATCAAGAAAAATTAGTCATCAAAAAGCCCTCCCAGACTGTAAAATACATAGTAAAATATATCTAGAAGAAAATTTAAACCTGCATTATTGGCTAGACTTTATTTCTTTTACAGATTCATTTCCTTCACCCAATATTCTATTTAGAGAAGTATTTTGGGTTTTCAGTTTAATTATGTGAGCGCTTTTCCATCCTTTACAATTGTACTCTACAGGTTGAAAATGAAATTGTGTTAGCATCAAACATGACAATTCCATTGGGTGTTTTTTAATGGATTCTGCCATTTGTGATAATTATTTAAGAAAACAAAAAGAAAGGAAAATATGGCATGGTGCTAAAGAGGGAAACTATTAGGGTAAGTCAAAACCAGCTGATATTCAGAACTTCCAAAGCAGTCATTAGGAGGGTTTCTACCTCATGTTAACAGACAGTAATAGTTTTAAGTGGAAAATGAAACTTTCATGGTTGGCCTAAAAGCCAGTGGTATAAATAGTTAAAACACCTGAAAAATTTTATTTTACAACCCCTTTTATTTTGGCTTTCCCTGAAAGACAGGTAATTCCATTTAATTGTATGTGTGAAAGTACTTTTCACTGATTTCCCAGTTTTATAGTGGGAAAAGGCTTCAGCACAGTGTTGTAAAGTAAACTGTGAATGAAATAATAGAAGACACCCAGAAAAGCAACCCTTTTGGGTATGAGACAGTGTGTGTGTGTGTGTGTGTGTGAGAGTTTTTCTGTTTGGAAAAAAAAGTCTGGATATGTGCTCAGGTAGGTTATGAGCACAGCTGGGCCTGTTGGCTTCATTTTAATGCTTTCTGAGGGATAATAAGATTTACAAAACTTGTCACCAAAACATATGCAGGCAAATACATTTGCACAGAAATCTATATTTCTTAAAGACCCAGACAGAGATTACATTTGTGCCTCATGGTGAAAGCTGTAATGCCACACCAGCTGAGCCATGTCCAATAGGGACAGCCACTAAGGCAGAGAATGACCACATGGAATTGCTTGTGGGGGTTGTGACACTCATCAAGACTGTGAAATGGTAGGTGATTTGTGATGCTGCAGCTCTGCAAGGTGCTACATGCACTTAAGGGGCCAGTTATGGGTGTTTAAAAAGGACAGGTTTTAGAAAGAATAAAAACATTTCAAGCAGACTGAATTTTTAAAAAAAAAATTGGGAAAGGGCACACTAACACAGGATTAAATAGAAGTATGGGATGTTAGATTTGCTCCAGACACTGCTTTTTTTCTGTCATATGTTCAACATATATAAAATTTTCACTACATCACTAAGGGGTCCCAAATAAATCTGTTTTGTGATGAATGGGGAAAAAAATTAGCTAGTGTAACACATGTGGAAGAATTACATAAAAAATACCAATGTGAAATGACTTCCTGTTTCCTGTAGCAGCAAAATAATTCTTAGAAAGAGTTAAAGTGGAATTGTTGGTAACCATTTATATTTTCCTTTGTGTAACTGTATCATGAAGCTTTGAAAAGATGCGTGAGTTAAGCAATATGGAGCCCTCAAGAAACTATTAAACTGCTGTAAAGTGTTTCAACTTTTATTGCTAAGTATTGAAAACTAAAATCCTTGATTCTTTGGCTTATGTGAAAAGTATTTATTTTTTTGTTCAGACAGGAGGCAATTATGCAATTGCAATAAACTCTTTTTGAAAAGCAAAAGTAGAAGTCAGCATAATTTTGACTGTAAGTTCTGCCTCTATATTTTGAAAAAATATATATGAAGGAGCCTAAGAAAATACTCTTTATTCAACTCAAGATGTCTCATGATCCTACACAAAGTAAACTGGTACTTATAATGGGAGCAAGATCAGCACTGATACCCCTGTCATTGAGAAGAGATTCCTCCAAGATTCTTGAGCTTCTCCAGTTTGCTCACTGTAATCTGGGGAAGAACTTGGCTTGTCCTAAGAAACTGGCCCAGATGGCATGCTCTTTTCTAGGCCATTTGCTCTAGTGAAGGTACAATGATGTGGTCTGTTGCAGGACCTACAAAAATTACTATAGATTCAGGCTTTTACTTTTTTCTAATGTAAGGTCTTGTATGTGAGGGAGGAGTGGTGGCAACAACACTCTCTAGCACACCAAGTATGGAAGAAAGAGCTCTAGGCTATACACTTGGTAAAGTCTGTAATCAAATTACACCTCAATTTCTGTAAACTATGGATAATGTGACTAATATGTAAAAAAAATTGAAACCTATTTGCAGAAATAAGTAGAAAGAACTAGAAAAGAGAAAAAAAGAAAGAAAAAGTAGTAGCAGAAAATTAAATAATTGACATTTTTCCATGAAGTAACTAAGTAAACACATTAAAAATGTTTTATTCACTGATTCAATCAGTATCCACAAGGTCTGTGCTTTCCAAGCAACAGAATTATTATCAAGTGCTGACTGCCATTTAGGAAGCAAACATAGCTAGTTTTGCATTGGAATGTACTGCTGCTTAAATATAAAGGACTTTTAATGGAAATGTGAAAGCACATAAAACTAATGGCCATTTATATAAAGAAGTTAATATATAAAAAAAAGGTTTCTAAAATGCATCACTTGACATATGTTCCCATCCTGCTGTGATTTGGAGTCTAATACAGTAACAGTGTCAGTCTGGCTTTACAGAGAAAAGAAATAATATAATAATCTATTTTCATGATGTTTAAATTCTAGGTAGCACATGCAGGAAGCATACTGGTATATTTTGTTATATTAGTGGTGACCTTTTTGGCAGCCAGTCACTGCAACATTTTTTTCTACTCCTTACCCACATCTCAATTTTTGCTGGCAATATCTTAAGCTAGAAGTATAGCATTTTACGTCATATGAAGTGGAGCAACCACAACTATATTTTGCCTAAGGAGGCAAATCTACAGATATCTGAGAGAAAGCATTTTCTCAAAAAGCTTACTGGCCAAAGGATTAAATGAACCATAGTGCATTTTTATCACTTAAGTATCTTAGGTTTCCTTATTTTTTTTAATTTTTTTTTAATGTGAATTATAGATGTTTTTTTATTAAACCTGAGTCCCAGGACACTGTTTAGTATTTTTGGCAGGACAAGAGTCTCTGATTTGCAAAGCTAAAGTGAAAAACTACAACCTATCATTTTAGGGAGATAAGACTAAGAGGGGATTATCAAAGTAAATTCTGCGTGTCTTACGCTCTTTTCTCAAGTAACCACTTCCCTACAGTTTGTAGTGCTTTAGATCTTTCAAATCTTGGCAGAGAAGATCTATTTTCCCAAGTATTTTTATACAATAATGTAGTGCCAAAAGGAATATTTTAATGCTTCCTTGGAGTTCTGATGCAGCTCGTCTCCAGGAAAGAACTTTCATCAGAATGATGAGGATGATGATGCCTGAGGTATGTGTAGTGTTTGGGGTGGGTTTGGTTGCTCTTCCCTTTTATTCTTTTCCTCTTGGTAGGAAAGAGTCTCTGTGGGAGATGTCTAGGAGGTGAGAGTCAAGAAAAAAGGGAAATTATATATACTTCTATCTCAACTAGTGTTTTCTTCACTTGTCGACTTTTGTTCTAAGAGGCATGGAAAATCTTTTGGTTTAATTTTATAGGTTAGCCTTTACTCTGGAAGATTCACTCCTAATCACTGGGGAGATGGTCCTGGCAGGTCTCAATGTCATTTAATGAAGCTCCTCTATATGAAAGCAAGTTATAAAACTCATCTGGTAAAAAGGCAGAAAAGTAGCACATGTTATTTGATACTGCTTGTAAGAGATGTATCTGTAGAATGTATCTGCAAATGGGAATTGTCAATCCCAATGGATGAAATGTCATATCAAAATGCAATCTGTAAAGTTATTTTCAGAGAAATCCTGTCTCCTATAATAAGCTGTGATTATACACACACTTTGGTCAGAGAGTAGTGTCTTCCACATGAAGACCTACTCACTAGGGGAATCATATGAGAGAATACATATGTTGTCTTACATATCTGCATGGTTTGAAGAAGCAGTGACCTGTACATGCTGTATAGTTAGAAGGTTTAAGCAGAAGTATCTTCAAGAACCTGTAGCATTAGCTGAAGTATCTTCAAGAACCTGTAGCATTAGCTGCTACAGTGTTAATGAATCAATGTTTCCAACACTGTAGTATAATTCCTAGACTTGTACTTTCAGAAGGCAATAATAAAATAATGTTGGCAGCAACAGCTAGTAGGTAATAGGTTAGGACAGTATATAGTGTGTTTCAGAATACCTACAGGTTTTGCTGTGCCAGGTCAGTGTGTTTTTTGGGTGCAGATATGAGGCTATTTTAAATTGTTAATTGTCACAGACTGTTGGAAAGCATTAACTCAAAAAGCAAAAATAGTTAGCTTTCATTAGACTGAAGAGAAGGGTTCATGTAGTTTTGACATCATACTTGTGCTACTGTGCAGTTTTTCCCATTTGCACATGCAAAGTTGTTAATTATGGAAATTATTTGTTCCAATATTTAGTGAATTGCAGCTACAGAAATACTTTCGATGATGTTCTCAAAAGAGGCACTCAGACTGAGTGTTCAGTTATTTGGAAGTATACTTTTTCACTAGGCAAAGTGTTTTAAAAACATTATTTAAATGACTAAGAAGGGAAGGAAAATCATGAAACAAATATGGATTAATAAAATCTGCAGCATTCGATGCAAGTAGAATTAGGTGCATCAAAGGAAACAGATACATAGCCTTTTTTTGTGTGTGTGTGTGAAGATTATACACAAGAGTAGAGAGTAAGGATTTAACTTATGATCCTGCTAAGTGAAGAATGGTGATTTGGATACAGGGTAAGTTTTCGTATTAATTCTGAGCAACTTTGAATTGAAAATTTTAAAAAAAAGGTCATATCAAAACTTCATAATATTCTGTATTAAATATCAAAAATGTCTGAAAGTGACTATTTCTGGGTAAATCTTGCTTTCACATCTAGTTTCTGGCAAAAAAAATATGAACCATATGGAGATCTTTATGCCATCTCCTTGCTACTTTTCCCTTAGTTCATATTGCTCATATCTCAAAAGAAAAAAGAAAAGCAAGCAAACATTTTAAATTTAATCACATATTATTATTGTGTTCTATTTATTTCTAGAAGCTTCTTGTACATATTAGTTATTTAAGCAAATGTTAAAGTTTTATTTTTGAAAGAAATATTCTTTCACACAACATTAAACTACTCAGAAGTAGCAAGATTTTTGTTTTTATTACTTTGCATAGATTGCTTAATTTTGAAGTAGATACCTGTGTAGTAGTTGTTTTCTGCAAACACTTGATCATCATTTATAGGAAGATATGCAATTAAGAACATTTAGTTTACTCAACTTCACTATAAGTTAATAGTGAAATAAATTCAAAAATAGTTTGCTAGTGCTAGGGGCTTTTCAAGGTTAAGTGTTAGAAACTGTCAGTGAAAGTGGAAAACCTGAATATTGAACAATAAAGAAGAAATTCTTACGGCTTTTTGGTCACCAATCATTAGTGGTTATTGCCACTACCCACTCTCACTGTGGATGTCAGGATCTGAAAACTTTCTGTAACTACCAATAGAACACTAGGAATCTAATTTATTTTTGAAAATTTTTGTGCGTGTATTTATTAATATTTTTATTTTTATTTTTATTTTTATTTTTATTTTTATTTTTATTTTTATTTTTATTTTTATTTTTACTTTTATTTTTGTTTTTGTTTTTATTTTTATTTTTATTTTTATTTTTTTATTTTTATTTATTTATTTATTACTGGTATTAACTGAATGTTCTTTTCTGTCTGAGAAATGAAGGTATGTCAGTTTTTGAACTAATCCAGAAAAAAAATAGGTGTTTCTTAGACATTTTACCTTTGATTCTGATCCTACCTGGTTAATAGCAGATCTCTGTGCCATAGATATTCCCACCAGTCTCTTTCCATGTTCTGTGATCAGCCCTTTTTTTTTCCCCCCCTAGGCATGTATGAGAAGTAAAAACAAAATTATCACTGTTCATATTCTACACATAGGAGTTCGATCCTGTGTTTGCTTCACATGCTTCAGGTCTTGATGTAGAAAGAAGGAACTCTGGTGCTAGAATACAAATGTTGGGATTAAGAACAAACCTTCCCTTAAAGTAAAGCAGAAGTAACTTTTGAGGGTGGGGAACAGTGTGATTAGGAATGTTTTTTAAAAATAAATCTTGAGCTTTTATTAAACTTGGCAGAAATCTAAGTCTTCAAAGATTTGTGGAACAGCCATTTATAACTCTGAATGTCTTTCCAAATGGTACCTTCTTACATCAGTTACCAACAAGCATTTTTGTTTAACAGGACATATTAAAGATGCTGCCTGTAGTTTTTGAAAAGTGATAAAAACAGTTCTATGAAAAGGCATGACCTGCATCCCTCAAAGGAGTGTTTAACTGCCTACATTACTTGACATCCAAAGAACAAAGGTTTCCAAAAGAGAGACTGATAAGGTACAAATACCTGCATGTAGGCTACATCTTCTGAAAGTGTGCCAGAATTTGTCTGGCAGAAGGTGGAAGACAGACAATATAGATTACTGTATTTTTCATCAAGTGGTTTGTACCATCTGTATGTATTTTATGTGTGCCTTTTGAGAGGCAAGTAGTCTAACTGAGTTCCCTCTAGGCTTTGTTCTCTGCCTCTACACCTACCACTTGGCATAAGATGTAGCCAGTAGAAGAAAACTAAGGTTCTTGGGACCTTTTTCTTGCCTTAGTTGCAACAGCTGCAAAACAGATGTAGGTTGATGTGAGTTCTGCCAAGAATCTCTTCCAAGTCTCCCACCCATTTTCCACCAAAGAGAAGCTAGTCAGGTGATATGAACAAGAGTCCTGAAGGTCAGAAAGAGATGGAAGTTCCCAATCTTGGCTTGATGGAGACTGTTAAAAAAACCCCAACCAATTAGTAAACCTAGATTCTTTCTCCTTGGAAATTAAAATGACCATAAATTTTAAAACTAAAATTCCAGACATTAATAGGACATAGAAGGCAACCTGTACATGAACCACAGCAATACTGCAGTGAGCAGGTCAGATGACAGTAAGAGACTCATGATCACCTAACTAGTATCAATTTAAGTCTCTTTTTTCTTGATATATTTTCAATATCTCAAATCCATTGAGTAAAATATTATTGTCTTGCTGGCCATAGTTTTATTGAAACAGATTTCTTAGGATTCCCGTTGCATTAACCTCAGTATTGAGAAGGAGTCAGCTTTCTGTACCTGTCCAGGTTTCTGTGTACCTCTCCAACTTCTGCTTTCAGCAGTTTGAATACACGTGGTTTTTAGTGTATTCCAACTATTACAAATCAAACAATGATATTCTCAAAAACAAAAAAGTTAAATCCTGGATGTTTTCCACTGTGTATGTCAGTCTGCTGGTGGAATCTTGCTGCTGACAAAACTATGGCTTTCAGGTATTTAGAATTCAACATTGAATTAAAGGTAGTATCCAGCAATGGAAGAAATGTCTTAATAACCAATAGTCCTAGAGTGCTTATATTTGCACAGGATCTGTGTGGGCTAACATTGATAACAGTTCTGAATCCTCTCTATTGGCAAAGATGATGGACATATGCTACTCATGCAGTTATATTCCCCTTTCCTTTTCCCAGTATTCATCCCCTTCCCTTTTCAGTATCCCAAGAATCATTGTCTCTGAATGTTATGAAAAATCATTTGCTGCTGTACAGAAAAGCTGTTCTCCTCATGGAAACATCTGCTTTCAAAAATTGCTATGTTACAAGTCTCAATCACTTGCAGAGATCAGTATCGTCCTGGGGGACATTCAGATGGGTATTCCTGAAGTTTTTTCCTTCAAATAGTCACAATAGAAGTAGCTACCAATGTTTCATAGCCTTGAACCCTCTTTCTGTTGTGTATCCAGACTTATGTCTTCATTTCTAGCATTGAATTTTCAATATGGTATCAGTGTCATATGTGGGAACATTACTTTCATTGAAGGACACAACCTGTAGTCTGGAAAGCAGTGAGCCATGGGATCTTTCTTACATCAAGTACTGACATGGGAAAACTTCTTGGCTCACAACCTCACACAGGCACAGGATGACCAGGACAGTTATAAGAGAGCTTTAGAAATTACTTGCATGAAATTAATTTCTGTGTCACACTGCAGATGAGGACTATGCACACCCATCTGCTTTCAAACCTGTATGAAATACGTCTGGTAAGCCAAAATGGCATAATGATTTAGGTACCTCTCTTCAGTGATTCAATGGAATGGGCATAAAGGGGTTTATGTATTTAAATTCAGTATTTGGATTAATACTAGTATTTGGACCTTAAAATGGAATGGCAGACAAGGAAATTTAAAGGAAAAAAAAACCAATGTGCATGTTCCCGAAACAGAAAAACATGGAGAGAAGTTACAGTGACTCTTGTTTGTCTATTATTATAAAGGAAGAAATGTGAATTTCTAGGTATAAGTTGGTTTTGAAATATCAAGTTTTCTATGTTGAGTTTCTAAATGTACCTTGGCCACACGCTATTGTCAATGGGCCTGCTATCTAATGTGGTCCTACCCTAGGAATTTCCTACTCCACTTTTGGCTGAGCAGCTCCCAAATCCACTCAACAACTTTCGTGGATACCCTCAGTGACACAGCCAGCAGTACACTTCATATTTAAAGCAAAGTCCTGTGTGTCATGTCAACAAAAGTAGAGGTTTGGTGATATGCAGCCATTAGCTTTAAAACATTTTAAATTAATGACTATAGCATTGAGACAAGCATCAACCGTTTTCATAAAAAAGAAACCCCAAAAAACCCCAAAGTTCCCTTCCAAGTAACAGAGTGACTGACAAAAAGTAAAAATTTTCTTATACCTTTATAAAATGTAGATTTTAAACCAGACTCACTGGCCAGTTGGACAGGCTCAGGCACGCTGATGATTCATCTGACACAGAGTCCCAGGGAGTGATTTTTTTGCGAGCCAGTTCATTTGGATGTTGATGCACGTTTCTATTTAAATCAGCAGCTGAAGTGTGAATTAATCTGTGACATTTTTAAGATGGTTCCTGAGGCCAGAATTGGACTAATGATACTCATACTGATCTCCTGCTAATTTTGGATTTATAGGTGTTGTATCATACCCAAACTTAAAAATGTCTGGCCTTTTTTTTTTATTTCTTCTTTTTTCTTTCTTTCTCTCTCTCTTTTTTTTGTATTATTGCTCTTTATTTTTATTTTTTTCCCTGATATTTTCAACATTCATTTATTTAAACTGACTTCACTGACAGCAACAGGATGACTGCCACAGGGTTACTGAGTTCAGTAGTTTGGGTGAGGACCAAATATACCAGTTTCTGAGAGCAAAAAGGAATTATGAGGGTGATAATGAAACTTTCAGCAGAGCTCCTCTGATTGTGGCCAAAGTGTTTCTTATGTAATGAGCTTCAGTGGTAGCAAATTCCTATATTGATACCAGCTGTGCCAAAAAGTTTCTACCTGCACCATAGCAGGAGTAGGAGAAGAACCCATGGGACATGCTCAGCAACTTCTTTTTGACGTGTGTTCAATTTCCTGTGGTTTGTCTGTTAGCTTTTCCTGAAAGTGTAATTGGACTAAACCTTAAAGTGTCTGCTGTAAAACAGCTTTGGCTTAAGGTATTAGTGAAATGATAGGAGAGAGAGATTCTTGAAGTATTACTCATTATACAGTAATCAAATGATACATATCCTGTACTGGTTGGATGCACTGGGAGCTGCCAACAGTGGGAAAGAATTGAAGCTTTGCAGAAATTCTTCAGAGAATCGTTAGAAAATGAAACACTGCAAGGTTTTAAGCTGAAGTTTGATGTGTGTGAGTGGAAGCAGCAGCTTAAGTCTGCCGGAATTACTTCTGCTTTCCTGATTTACAGTGAAGGATCCTTAGGAATAAAAGCAAGGGTGTGTTTCAGAGAGAAGAAAGTTTGAAGAATGTACCTTTAGTTTGTTGTCTTTGGGCTAGTTTACTATTCAGCTGTGCTTGTCATTACATCCATTTTTGCTTTTTTTTTTTCAGATTCCCAAGAAGGAAACTATAAGACAGAGGTCAACAGCAAACCCAGGAAGGAAAGGACGGCTTTGGTCAACAGCAAACCCAGGAAGGAAAGGACGGCTTTCACCAAGGAGCAAATCAGAGAGCTAGAAGCAGAATTTGCTCATCATAACTATTTGACCAGACTGAGACGATATGAGATAGCAGTAAACCTTGACCTCACTGAAAGACAGGTACTGATGAAAAATAATGGACTTTAAATGCCTGCTCAATATGTGCCAGTGATTAGTAGCTACTCACAGTAAAGCTCCTGTTTACAATGCTAATATTTATGTTGATACATCAGATTGAATGTTCTTAGGAAAATTATATACATTTATTATCTGCCTGCTATGAAAGTAATTTATACTTTCATGTGTGCCACTTACAGATTAATTTCATCTATTAGGCAGAAATAGAAGATAAACACACGAGTAATAGATCTGTTAAATGGGTGCATGTCTTTTCTAATCTGTCCACACTGAATAAGGGGAAGGTCCCTAACATTGTACACACAAGTAGTTGGTTTGCCTGCGTGCAACCAATATGAGCATCTTGGTTCAGTCTATTAAGTATGTGCAGTGGTCATTAATGCAGTTTCTGAACATCCTGTTTCCAGATGGCAGCAAAAATGAGAACGCCAGCAAAACTGGGATACAGGCATTTTAAACCCCTTTATCTTACCCTGCTCTGTGAAAGCATAGGAGATGATGGAATTTCTTATCACTGTTACTGGATTCCTGCTCACCAAACCCTGGTCCAGGAAACACTTCTGCATGTGCTTAAGTTTCATCATGCATGTTGTCACATTGATTTCTAATGGAAATATCCATGTTACACATGTATTAAAGTGTTTCAGGATCTCATCTCTATACACTAAATAGGTAGTGAAGTCACATTTCAAATAACAATTACATCAAGGTACACATTTTGAAAACGTGTTTCTGTAAAGAAATTTAGAATACTGGCCTCAAGTACACAAAATCAGATGAAATATTTCCTACAGTTTTAATACTAAAATGCAAAGCTTTTTTCCCACTGATAGACAGTCATTCTTTTTTCAGGAATCAATATGAGATTGAGGGATTGCTTTAGATGCAATCAGTAAGATGATATAGTCAAAAGTAGGTATCAAAATAGCATAATGATTTGTGAAGTCTACATATAAGAAGATTTGAAATTTTCTTGAGTTTCATTAACACCTGCCATAGGTACATGTATCAAATCCAGCAAAAATCCAGCCTTTTCTAAAAAAAAAGAACACGTTTACTCACAAAAGCAAATGCAACAGCTTTTTGCTTTGAAAGCTTCTAGAGAATGGCTGTGCCTTTGTTCTTTTCAAGAAAAACACAGCAATTTCTTGTTTGATTTGACCACATTGCCAGGTTTCACTGGGGTAATTTCCATTTACTTAAGTACGGTAGTTACATTTGTGAAGCACACCATTTTGTATCAAACAATGGATAAAATGGTGCCTTTTTTAATTTCTGCTGCCTATTCCATTTAGATTCACACCTGATTTTGACAGCTAAGGGGAGAAGGAATGTATCCTTGTCTTCTCTACAAAGGTAGAGTCAGCATGAAACTGAACAATCATAAATTTAAAAAAATATCTGCTGAACAATTTGACAGGAATTAGTCAGCTGGATCCCTATATCTAATAATCGTGAATTTGGCCTAGAATTTAAGTGTTCTCCCTAATAAATTCTATATTCTTTTCTTCAAAGATCATGTTGAGTAGTACAATTAAATGAAGAGACAGTTCACTATCCTGAAGGAAAAAGTTAAACTGAAAGCATTTAGCTTAGTGAAAAGGGACAGATAAATACTGAATATTGTTTCTGGAGGAGAAAAGGCAGCCCAGATACATATATACAGAGAATTTATTTAAGTCATGGCAGTACTTGCTGTTTTCCAGCTGTCAGAAAGCATCAGTTTTAAGCATTCTGCTGATTATTGTGGTAATTTGTATAGAATTGTCATTAGTCTATTTAATTATGTAATTTAATCCTTCTCATCTTCCCCAGATTATCAGAGTGACAACTGAGCTCCTAGAGATAACTCCCTTCCTTCCTTCTTTCCTTTCTGCCTTCCTGTCTTCCTTCCTGCCTTCCTGTTCAACACCACCTTAGAAAAGGAAAGCATTAAGATTTTCAGTTTGATAAAATCCAGTTCTGTATCTTCCCACAGTAAAATGGTCTGAGAAAAGGAGAGGAAAGAAAAAAAAGCATAAAAACTGTATTGTTAATCAAAAAATGAAAATGGAGGGGAAATTCTGGATATATTTTTCAGCTTCTGCATCATACTAAGCCCAGTAATGTTGTAAAGTAAAAATTTCTCCTTTAAACACAATATATTGCTTTGATAGAAAAATGGTGTAAATATCATGGATCTGGTTATGGATTTCCATGGTATATGGCAGACTTCAGAAGCTGAATGCCATAAATAAAAAGACTTGGCTTTTCTTGCTTACTTGTTTTATATCAGTATACCTCCAGTCACTTAAAAATGTACTTCAGGGTGACCATGGTGTGACATTAAGTCTTTTAATTCTTTTAAATTCTTTTCTCTCCAGTTAAGAGAGGAAACTCTCCTTCAGGACCTGCCTTTCCATCATTATCAAAATGAATCATTATTCTTGAGATAACAGCACTTATTTTCATTCTTACTAGTGTTACTCCTTTTTTTCTAAACTAGCTGTCCCGACAGAGGAGATCATATTTGATACCTACCTTAAACAGGTGCAAAAAATTATCTAAAATATATTGATGGAATTATCTGCCATGCTCCCCCCTTTCCCGTGAGGTAGCATTTTTATAAAATTGCTGTTTGTGGAACCATTTTTCTTTAGTATTTTTCCCCAAAGTTGCATTGCAGAAAATGCAATAGTTGATAGTTCCTTTTTTGAAAGTAGTGGTAGTAGTTCCCTTGTTTGAAATAAGTGAACACACAAGTGATAGCCTTGATCTCATCACATGAGTGTTGGGAGATTTCTTGACCTCTCATAAAACACTAAACTGAAACTTGCTTTAGATAGTATAATGGCAAAAATAGCAGTGGCTATTGAGTGAGCTAATGTATCTCCTTGAAAAATAGGTGTGGGAGCAGACCTAACCCCTAAAAGAAATATTTGTTTAGCATTATTTTTTTCACTAGGATTTAAAAAAAATGACAAGGGTATTATTCAGAGAAGGAAGAACAACAAAATAATCTGAGGAAAATATTGTTGGGTCATCCTAAAGCTACAACTTTCTGTTATTTCCCAAGATGTGAGATAAATCATGGAGACTATTATCTTAAAAATCTCTATCTTCCTCTTGACTATAGTGATAATTTCTACCATACGCCACAGATTAAAAGAGGCACTGACCAACTAACACTTCATAATTACCTTTCTGGCATTTAAACAAGCTGTAGAAAAAACCATATGTCTAACCATATTTAAAAAGCTATATAAGGGTATTAAAGTTTTCTTCAGTCATGAAAGTAAGGCTTCATTTGACTTTTGAAATAATTTAAAAGATCAGTTCAAACATAAATGACTCATGGAAGACCATTTCACAAAAAATAATAATGGAAAAAAACCCCTAACAACATATGGCTCAGGAGAAGGAAGTAATCCTATCACTCCCTGAAAAGGAAACCTGAGTTACAAGACAGGAGGATGAAATGAAATAAGTGCCTCAATTGCCTAGATATTAAGAGTGCACTTTGAGAGCATTATAAGCACATCTGGTGGTAGGATGGCTCTATTATGGTATTGTAAGTATTCCAGAAATATAGGTACATATAATTCTTGCCCCCTCTCCTACAGAGTGCACTCACAATCCCAGATCAGGCAGCAGTTAATAATTTTCAGCTGGCAGGCCTCCATTATATTTTGAAGAGCTAGTTAGACTAAAAACTATCTGAGTTCCCTAGATATTTGTAACCTTGACAAGTGCATTCTTGGCTTTTTTGTCCCTCCAGATAAACTTGGAGAAGGTTCCATGCAGACTTTTTAATATCTCACTGTGGGATGAGGAAAGGAAGCAGCTGCAGTGGGGTATCAGAGGAGTGGCAAAATGGACATTTTTATGGAGTTGATCCGGCCAAATATAGAAAGAGTAGGAGATCTTTCCATCTCACAAGAGCTTTTTGCATGGAGCTAATCAAAAGAGTAATGTTGCAGTTCTTCAGGCTAGCTAAGGTTACCGGAATAAACAGTCCAAATATGTAATGCTTCAGTTTGCCAACATAAACGGAAAATCCCACCTAGTCAGATTAAATTCTGCTGATGGCAACAAGAGGTTTATTTCTTCTCAACTTGAATTTCCAATATCTGCCTAGAAGCTACCAATCATTTATAAAAGGCCTAAAGCCACTGATTTTGCATAGGCAAAGGACAAAATTTTGTCCAAGTGAAGAATGCTTTTTTATCAAGTGTTTGACTTCCATGCATGTGGTACCAACATGGAATGAGTCACAAAGAAAGAAGCTTTGTGATGTTTTTCTCCCAGAAATGAAAGCAAGCAGCACAATTATTTAAATTATGCTTTAGTATAGTAGCACAACTCACACTGTAGCACTGCATTGTTAATACCATGCAAATACTACATGAAGTTTACCATTAGAAAATTGTTCTCCAGACCCTGTTACCTCAAAGCTTCATCACAAGTGACTTGATTAAAATACTTCTCAACATTACAAAGATCCAGGGAGGCTAATCACTGCATATTTTAGACTTCACTGGTAAGGTAAGAGTGGCTTCCCTTGGTCACCCAGGCAAGAAAACAGAGTTCAGTATTCCTCCATCATGTGTTCTGCATAGCCTCTGGAAGTGTCAATGTCTCTTCATGCATTACATGGCATAACTAGTCTTCTACTTTAGGAGGCTAGTTTTCTGAGGTTAGGTGGTGAATATTTTCAACAAAAATCAAACAAAATCAAACTTGATAGGACAAGCTTGACCATATCTGTTTGTCATGCTGTCACATCTTCTCTGAAAGGCAGCTGCTCATTCCACACTTCCATGTGTTAAGCACACTCCATCCACACTATAATAATGAGTCTGTGTGGCTTGAAATCCTTTAGATATTTGTTTATTTAAAGTAACACTCTTAATAATATAAAACTTTGATATTTATCTTGAGCAATATAAATACCAGCAGTAAGAGTTACTGTGCTACCTCTGTTCTTTCTCAGGAAAGAATGC